ACCCGACGTCGTGCCAATCACCTTTTACAAGTGTTTGACACGCGTCCCTGTCCCTTGCGTGCGTGCGCTTGTATATCTGCTTTAAAAAATAGAATGTGCAGTACGAACGACGGAAAGAAAACATAAACTTACAGTCAGCGACCGATCTCATGAAATGCGGACTGAAATTCGCTGTCGATTAGGAGTAATGTCTTAAGTCGGATTGCAATATTGACTACCACGTGGCGTAATCCTATAATATTTCGAACCCATCAGGATATCGACTTTTGAATGCACTTCTTTTCGGCCCCCGTAAAAACTGTACTCGTAAAAGTGAAAATTTATATAATGAGTATATTTCGCATTTCTTTCCGATGCCCCAATAAATTCAGACATATTTAACCGAGGAGATGCAGAAACGTCTGCTTTCTTTTGCTCGTTTGGTTAATAATCATGTCCTGTTTGCATTTTACATTCAATGAGAGGGTATATTTTAGTTATGAAAACATTCTTTAGTTTTAAAATAATTTTGATTTAGATCACTTGTTTCACTTGCATTTAACGATTTAAGTCTACAAGGTGTATAATTTTCACGTAAGTAAAACTACACATTTCTTTATGCCTTCAGAAAAGAAATGATGTAGAGTACGTCAAGGTTTGCGGTAGATGCGGACTGTGTTGTATAATTAATAACCAATAATTAGAAAACGAAGAGCTACGAAAGAGCATAATTGGACACTGCAAATCTCATAACTAAAAAGTCTTCAAATCCGACCGAAACATTTCATCGAGTCACAAATTTATAGAATGTGTAATCTGCTACCAAACGCGTACAAGTAGTAATATGTTGTATATGCCTTTAAGAAAATACATGTGAATTTGCAAAGGAATGGAAAATCAATGTGACAAGTTCATACTACATATGTAGTCTATTTTACCAACTGAAAATTTTGAAGGCGATCACGATAAAGTGACTTCGAAAGCCAACATCCCAGCCAGTCCGAAATATCATAGGATTATGTCTTCGCTAATCAGTAATAACAACTTCGCCTAGGTAATTTCTCCTAATCGAATGTGCATTTTAAGATTTTGGCTGACATTTTACGAGGCCAGTCCGTTAGATGTCTCAGTTGGGCCCGTGTATTTCTTCTAGTGTACCAAATATATCAGTGCGATGAGGGAAATTGCGCAGCTGCTCAATATTAATTTGACCTAGTGTACGAAGATAGAGCATCTTTTAAAACTTGAGCTGTTTATAACAACATAAGTCGGGATGTGTATTTGAAGAGACTCATGAATGAATTAGGATAACTGTACTATAGACGGACAGTTAAGTTTCATCTGGCAAAAAAGACATTTTTAGAAAAATAAAGCATTAGCACAAATTTGCAGTCCGTCAGCAAGATTTATTTTGAAAAAGGCTCATTTAGTCCGAATTTAAGAGCTATGTAAAAAGCTGACTTACTGACCTACCAGGCTGTGCACCATCAGGCGGCCACAAAACACGTCCAATAATATTGGTCGATTAAATCGAAGTAAAAAATTGGAACGTTTTTGTTGTTCTATAAAAGGAGAAAAAGTCGCCGATCCTAATTTTTTTCCATAAAAATACACTTAATTAGAAACGGCAATCCACTTAAAAACGCTTTAATGCGTTATTCCAACGTGGCAGGCTTAAATTAAACATTTCCTAGCAAATATACTTGGTAGAGCAACTTGACATACTGTTACTCTATTATTCTTTTTGTTTATTAGATAATCAATCATTATGTATAAACTGACAAAAAATTCTTCTGCGACGGTAATATGTTTTTACAAACGAACACTAATGGGTTCGGAAAGCCGAGTTTATGAAGATAAAGCTTTGTAACCCTTTTAGAAAAAGAATTTCAAAAAAGTACCTTTAACTGACTTTTACCTAAATAAAGATTTGTCTTGAAGTACTAGAGGAGAATTAATGCAAATGGCAGAACTACACGTACATTCAGAGTCTATATACGCACTTTCTGGTATAAACAATTTCAAATGCCTAATGTAGTCTACAGTAACCTACAACAATGCAAGTAAAATCACAAAATATCACAAGAACACAGCTAATGGGGGAGATTGAGTTTTATTTTTCTCATTTATGATCGTTATGCAAGTTCATCTTGTGAGTTCTGGAGTAAACGCTTAGACACAACTGGACTAGCATTTCCTGTATCCCGATCGGTTAGCGCAATCTCAACATATTTAAAATTTATGACTGAAATCAACAAGGGAGTCGGCCAGTGGCCGGATGGTTTGCCGTCCAATCTATCGACCAAACCTCCTAGGCCCGATTCCCAGGTGCAAAAAAAATTGGATGGGGATACGGTTGGCTAATAACGGCTAATGAGCCCGAAATTGCTATTTCTGCCTGCCCTGAACATCTTATTGCTAATTCCAGGAACTATTGTTTTTACTTAAAATATTAGCGTGGTTTTGCTTTGATCAATTTCATGTTCTTTTAAACATCAACATCTATCTATCGGACGAAATGCAAATACACCTTAAACGTTGGTAGGATTCATCCGAAATAAGACCGGCAAACGTATTTGCCTTCCGCTAATTAGGTCTCCATTGCTTTGTTAATATTGCATATTTTAGTTGTGGTCGATCGCGGCAAGTATTTTACGATCGTCATAGAGGCACGGCGGAGGGCCAAGGCGATGGATAACTTTGTTTGCACCCTTAATGGCCGGTGGTCAATTTCACGGACAATATACTGGATGGGTAAGTAGGAGAAAAATGTGCCGCTTTTGATAAACAGAATCCCGGAATTGTTGAAAGGTACAGTCAAATGAGAGGTGTCAGAATTTATGAACGCCAATTAATTACTTGGAAACCTAAGTCAAACAACGGATCTAATATCTATATTAATAAAAGAAGGCGTTAAGGAAATTGAAAACATATAAGTAATATTACGTTAATGAAAAGTACATTTTTTTCGGAAAACCGAAAAATTCCGAAAATATTCAAATGGTCTCAATTTAATAAACTTAAAATTTTGATGTGCAGAAATCCTGTGCATGCAAAAACTAGGTAAAAATGATAGCAAAAACACAATTATTTTTGAAAGTTGTCTTGTACTGAAGGTTACATCTGAATATCCCTCGAGGATTAGTGTAATTTTATGTTTGACGGTTTCCTTTAAAGCAATTTTCTGTATGTCGACCCCATGACGGTTTCTTGAAAATTTGTTGTATTTTCTACGCTTGTGCATTGTTTGGGATGCAGTTTAATAAGTAAAGTGGATTTTGCTCAACTTTGCCGACAGAAAAATCAAGAGAATAATAGTTTTCATAAGGTCATATGCTGTCAAGCCGATCGGTCACAAATAAATGGAAAAGTTGACAGATGCCATCGTAAGCGAGTTATTATATGTGTGTAAAAATGACTTTTCTTACGTGAGATTAATTTACCCTTTTGATTCATTGTGGATTACGTCGAGCTTTAGATCGGCCTTTGAATATTGCTGAATAAGGCGTGTTTTTGGCATTTTTGATTGATTGCCAATAAAAGCAGCTTCTTTATTATATATTTATCAAGACCCCAATTGTTAGATACATTCTGAAGGTATTAATCCACATTTGAGTGTTTGGGTGTTCGTATTCATGTATATAGTCTTTTGCGTCACATATGAATATTCACCCAAACATAAACCCCCATTGTCAAAAACAAAGAAGTCGACAACGAATCGACTTTTGATCAACAGAGAATCTCCTCTCATAATTTACCTTTCTAAGGAGTGCTTTAAGACGGCATTTTTTGACGGATATGTGTGTAGCTGATAATTCTATGCGATAAAGCCAAGAACAAAATTGGCCTTTTGGTCGGATTTCTCGCATTGCTAAAAAATACCGATAAGTTACTATCGTAACCGGATGCGGCCATTTAAAGTCTTTGCTCCCCTTAAGACTGCGTTCTACGATTGTGAACATACAGCAGAGTGGCCATAATAACACTGATGTTTTGCTGCAACGGTTAATGTTTTGCTCGTTACATTTTTGAACCACATATGCGTAGTAGTCAGACCGCTTTAAACGCCAATGTTTCACATGTTCCAAGCTGCAAATGACAACTTCGTGGTAGTCATTTCTTTGGCAACCCATGAAAATTTTCAAATAACAAAACAACTTTGATTCATTTAAACAAGGATTGCTTATGCGCATTGTGACTGCACTTTAGGGCATGGAATCACACGAATGTGTAAATCTGACTTCCAAAAATCGATAAAACATCTGGTTCTCTAAAAATAACCTGCGTGCTATCAAACTGATTCCCACGGTTAGCATCAGACAGAAAATAAATTATTCAGTGCGGCATTTTTTGTTTAATAACACTTGCAAGAGTAAATGCGTCCCTTCTCGAAGAAACACACATCCATATGCTCACTCTTTGTCTAGAAGAGAGATCAGCATAAGAAATTGCAGAATATATCACAATGTCTATTTTTGCTCACATTCATGAACTTTTGCTTGATAACATTGCGTGAGTACATTTTTCGTACAAGAAAAGGACAATTGCTTGAAGAAGCTGAACGAGTTAACAAAATGCGTATAGTTAAAGTCGTTCAAAAATTCTCATATCAGTTTCTCTCATTAGGTTTCACAAATAAGGTCACGTACTGCGCTCAATGTTGCGGAAGGTGTGAAAATGTCTCATACTTGTCTTAGTCCGAAAATTCATTGTTACCAAAGCCTTAATGAAATCCACACCCAGATAGCTATAGGGAGATTTACATTAGACAAACAAGCATTTTAGCGTAGACAGCAAATTTAAGATGGCATTGTTGGGTGGGGAAACAAAAAATAAGCACGCAACATAGCAGATCGCGTCAGAAACAGCTTCATCGCTTTATAACCATGTAAGAGTCGTTAAGCTAACTGGAACTATTATTTTGCTCTGCGAATAGTTGCCTATTTGCAAGCGTTTAACTTTGAGTGTAACGGTTAACTTTTGTTTATTTATTGCTTCTCTAAGGGTCCATTCATTTCGATATGTTGGAAGATGTGAAGCCGCAGTCCGAGGACGAAATTTTCTTTGCGCCGCCAGCAAGCGAAGGCTCAGAGTTTAACTCCGGTGAGTGGTCGCATGATCGAACGCAAATATATCGTATATATATGAAGAATATCGACCTGCATAACTTACATTGACAATCAGAATTTGCGTTTACAGTCTTACCGTTGCTTGATGACGCATCTTATTTTGTGCTGTCGTGCAAAAGTTTTCCTGGGCACAAATGTTCAACTAATATGCAGCCAGCTTATTCCCCGTACCAGTCCGGCAGACCGACTTAGACAGTGATTGGTGCCTTGGAATGAGAAAACAGAGTGAATTCGACGATTATTAACTTTCGGACGCGCTTGAAGCTATTACGGCGCGCTAAAAGTCGCGGCTTAGATGGTTGCCAATTGACGGTAAATTTGGACCTCGCCTTTGGTTCAATGTGTTTCTGTGGATAAGGCGACAGGTGGGCGTAGAGTTAGTCTGCGATGTTCTTAATGTGGTCGTCATGACATTTTCACTCCATGGAATTTGAGGCGTGTGTGGCGGCTCGCCTAGGTACGGTTTCGACTGCGCCGACCACCTGCGATCTCTGCCATACCCGGTTTTTTGACCGTCTTGGCACCGGATCCATATGGGGAGGAGAGAGTGGGGTAGATATTGTGCAAATCTATTCCCACTTAAAAAGAAATCATACGCAAGTCACCATGGCGGCTCTTAGCCTGTTGTGGAGCACACGATGGACGTAGTCGAAGTTGATGGTCGAACTGTAATCCACCTGTAATACCGTAAGTTTATTTCGCCGAAATGGCTCCTTCTGTATGACGAAAATATTTTTTTATTAATTTTAGGTCAGTAAGTAATTGTCCTTGATCGTACTGTTCGTCTTAATTAATTTCCCAGTCTATTAAATTCTATTTAGAAGAGTACTCGAAATAATAATTTGCAGTGGAGTCGTTTGCGTGCAATTCATGTAAAGCCTTTTCACGTCAGTTTGGCCAGAGCATGTAGATTTCAAATGTGATATCCTTAAGGTCATTTTTGAATTCGGCCAAAATGATATCCTAAACGATTGATACTATATGCTTATTATAAAGACATCAAGATAACATGATGTGAAAGTGTGGGAATTAAACAACTGCTGTAGCGGGTAACAGAAACAATCTTGGCGAAGCATTCCGGTCATTGTTTAATCGAAAAACGTTTATACCCAGAAAATGGGTTTGTCCGAAAATCCTAACTGCCTGAACTGCTGTTTAAGTGATTGCACATGCGATTTGTTTAATTTGTTGTTGCAAGCCGGACCTTGAGAGAAGCCTGTCCTATTTTGTTGTAATTAGACTAACACAACGGATGTAAGCTACTTATACGGTCTTGATTTCTTTTTCATACTATTTATTGAGCAGTTTTTACTTTAATCTGTATTTACTGGTCAATCCTAATCATGAGCCATCGTCACCGGAGAGAATAAAATTCTAAAGCGGAGGTAGTCACTAAGCTGTTGTGAACACAAAAATGTAAATAAATGTCGGTGGCGTTCATAAATATTCTTGGTTAATTCTAGTAGAGGGTCTGTAAATCCGCCCTGACTATGAAGTGTTTTGTGCTTCACACGAAAATCCACTGGATGTTTTATTTAGGAGTAGGTTTGCTATCTACGCTCCTTTCTTTAATCATAAACTTGCTACTAATTGAACATATGCATTCTGTCGGAACACTCGTTAAACAACCATGCTCCGGTTTGTCTTGCACACCTGCTTTCAGATACTTGACAGCATTTCCGATATAAATTTGTTGTTAGGTATAATGGATAGCGTCAGAAAAGTTTGAATGTGTCGTGTTAGAGGGGCGGGTCTACAATGAGGGTGAGAGTTGGGAAATGGCATGCTTGTTAAAATTACCGGAAAAGTTAAAAGCCTTGATTCATTGAGATGAGCAAGTTCGTTTATACTCCTTTTCTAAACGGCTGTAGTTTAGTATTTTATAGATCCTCTACGAGAAGGGTGTGGGCTGTCCTATCATGAAAACCTGATTTTGCCCTGTGAGGGAAGTCTTGTCCACGATGACGGCCTCGCCACTTTTTGCAGTAGGGGTGAATCACTGAAGCGGACAAAGTAAACCCCTTGGAATCGACTTTGATTTTCGCTCCAGGCTTAGAGAGACACTCCTCAAACGAAGACATTATAACAATTAGATGAACGTCATATACAGTAGATGTGCTAACTCATGAAATGTCAACGAAAATTATGAAATCTATTTTCTGTTTGAAAGGACTACTAAAGTAGGGTTGTAACATTAATCACCGTGCATAGTAATTCAGTTACTTTAGGATGCCATCTTTTGAGCTAACTTCCTTTCGGCCGCCTGCAAGCACTGCATTCTGTAAAAGATAACTAATCACGTAGCACGAATTTTCTCATTGATTTGTGGTGCAGTAATAAACCTAAGTATATTTCATAGAATACATGAATAGAAATATTTATTATTGTTTTTATTTGGTAGAACATTACGTTCTCTTTTCAGTTTATAGTTGAAAATGTTTACACCGGTTTTGGAAAATTCCAATTTCTCAATAATATTTAAACCGACCTGCCGTTATATTTGCATTCAGGGTTTCGAAACTACGCGCTATATATTTTCCGTGTATGGAAAGCCATACATTTGTATATGGTATTAAGAGGAGACTACATGGGGTTTACGAAATACCTGGTTAAAAGTATAAAATTCAAATGAACAAACAAATAAATATTACCTTTAATTTTTTCTATGAAATATGCTAAGCTTTATAAGGGCACCATAAATCAATGAGAAAAATTCGTGCTACATGAGTAGTTTTTTTACAAGGTGCAGTTTTCGAAGGCGAACAAAAAGAAGCTTGTTCAAAAACTGGCATCCCAAATTAACTGGATTATGCTGCACGGTTATAAATGGTACATTCCTAATTAGCTAGTCCTTTTGAGCAGAAAAAATATGTCAGCATTTTGGTGGACATTTCATCAGTTAGGACACGCAGTGTATAGTTCATATTTATAAGTCCTTTAATGAGGTCCACAAAATGGTGAAATAAGACAGATGGAAAATATTTCCGTTAAATTATGTTAACAAAACCATACTTTTTAAAAATGCCCGTTATGCAGCACTATGTGACAACCACTTTTACTACTCATACGTTTTTGGTTTTCCTTCTCAAACTCGTAAGGAAGAGCCACGATTGTCTATTTTATATGCACCCAGCAACCTTATGTAATGACGGCTCTTAAGAATATTCAGCCTATCTCGCGTTAATAATTGGAATAAAAAATGCCCATCTCAGAAATGGAAAGAGACGTCCCAAGGTATCGCGACAACTCACGGTTGTTGCACCGGAAACAATACATGTTATAGTAGTTTTTTGACAGTTTCATTTTATCCTTAAAATCTTACTACTAGGAAGAGCTGCCTATCAAGGGCGAGTCCACACTCAATCGAGTTACTGAGTAGCCGATTTCAACTAAAATATAAAAAGATGTTGTTTTTACTGAAAATGATAGTATAGGCAGAATCAAAAACTCCTATCATACATATACAGATTGGAGAAATAAATATAGTACAACAGGTGGTTATAGCTTCCATTTTAAAGTGCAGGTAAGTTTAAAAACTAATTTTTGTCAATTCATTATAAATCAAATAAATAACCATTTGATAAATATAATACATATTCGATTTTGTGCTACTAAACTACTGTATAAAGTGACATTCAAAGATATAGTGATTGAAAATTTTAGTTTGCAAAGCAACCGACCTCACTTGTATTGGTTTTTTACATTTTACGCATGCTTGACTTTTCCCAGACCTTCTCTACGATGGAGACCACTGCCAGTGGTTTGTTCAAAAGCTAGTAAGTTTTTGACATGCGCTGAGATTTTGAATACAACTGAGGAAGATGAACCATCTAAACAAATATTTTTTTTGAACTCAAATACGTTTGTGCGTGCCATTTTAATTTCCACTCGTGACTTAAAAAAAATTTATTAGTTAAGATTTTTATATAGATTTGCATATGTCAAGCACAAAACAGTGGTCGAATAATTGTGAAAATCCTAAGACCAACATCCAATCTCTTGAATTCTGATTTCCTTCCCTGCCTTATAACGTGGCTTAGTTATTGACACTAGAAAATATATTGCATTATTTTATTGCACTAAGATGGAGGCAACGCTGTTTTTCGTTAACTTACCTGTTTAATTATCTTGCTTAAACGCGGAAAGTGGAATTTACCACACAAAGTCAGTTCACACTTTAACTTTATTAGACCTTCCAGAATTCGTCGGATAGTCAGACGGGAATTCGATTTAACATTGGCCTTAAAGTATCGACTCGAAGTCGGTAGTTTAGTCGTCTACCTCGTTTGATATAAAGTTGTTGCCTATTCCGGCATATCATTTGTGCCACAGTCAGCATCGATCAAATTATTTACAGTTGAAAATGTTTATTACAAGTGACTGTTTGAGGAAATGAAAATTTAGTTGATCTGATAACAACAGGATCCTTAAACGATCATGCCTACATCTTCAGTAGAACGTACTGGAAGCCACCACAAATATAAATAATCAATCGAGGACTTGCGGTGTCTAAGATGAAGTCTTTGACCTTTTTGGGGTTGTATTGAGAATGACGTCTTTGATAGTATCGAGTGATTCAGGATTCGAAAAATGCCCAAAAATAGTCACTTGCCGTTCATTAATCAGCGTACTTTGGTTCCAGTAAGACGAGGAAATTTTGGAAAGTTGTAGATGTGACAGTGACCGACTATCAGATCGAAAAACATTTTTCACCTTACGCAACAAACGTCGTTTCTAAATAAAAACACTTTATTTTACCTATTTTTTAAATACTGTTGTTTTCACATTTCTGCCAAAGATGAAAGACGAGCGACAAGTTAGAGGGGAGTGTGAACAGCATCGTTTTCAACACAATCAACTCGAAGAACAAATATTTGGTAAGTACTTGAGTTCAATTCCAACCAAGAAATACTTGTTAAAAAGGCGTACGGCCTGCGCGGTCTTGTTGTCGCATATCCACTTTGATGAAAAACAGGCCTGCTCTCTACAGTTTTATAGGCATTTTTGAGCACATTTTTCCGTTGTAATCGCCAAAAATCGGGGTTTCTATTTCACAGACTGATATGAACATACAGGACAACTTAAAGTCAAGCGCCAATAGTTTTCACACTCTCAAAAATAAGACCTTAGGAGATCGAATTTATTATCTTGTAAGCAGTGAGATTTTTTTGGTAGACGTGCGTTTACTGATCAGGTTACGGGACCGCTCGTTCCGTTCTGCCTTTGAGCTCAGATCAGAGCGCCATTAGTAAATCACATAATGACTAGCAGTATATAGGGGAGAAGAACATAATTTAAGTAGGGCGGGGGAATGGACTTGCCACTTCTGGATTATCAGTCCTAGTCGGCTATCCTTGCACAAATTCAGGCCTGTGGGACCTGAGATTTCAATTCGCTGCTATTTAGTCCCTCCCGCGATCACTGAACAACGAGTAAGTTGCTCTGTTTGCTGCGATTGGAAATATTACGCAAATTCGAAGCGCGTTCACCGGTTAAGTCACGAAAGCTGCTTGTATCACTGTTCTTTAAAAAGACCAACAAGCAGTCCATAGAAGTCCTATTTCTAAAATTTATTAAATCGGCATTCCCATTGCTCATTTCTTTCAGAACATACCATTAACGGTAAGTCGAAATAAAAGTGGACGCCTGGCGACGTCTTGTGTGCTGTATGGTACTGTAAGGAACGTGGGTATTTATTATTATTTGCTGATAATTTCAAACTACGGAGTTGTATTTGAGAGTTTTAATGAGGTTTTGAATTTTAGAAAACGTAGCCTTCACGACCCCACGTAAGTATAATCGATTCACGCGTCATACATTTATGTCACTCCGCCTCTATGTCGGTGCATTATTTACCTAGTGATTACTCTGTATAATATATTCCCAATGCGGTTATTCGTAAAAATAATAAAATTGGAATTTTGACCCAAGCACCTTGAGGTGCAACCGTCTAAGTAACAAAAGATCCTGAATTGTACACAAACAAATTAATCAAAAGCCTGGTCGGACATCACACTAGATGTGCCACTAAATCTGACGAAGAAATTGAATTTTGTCTTTTGGCCATTATTACTCACGTTATATCGAATAGTATATATATGTATAGGTGGATTTTACTGCTCATGTTCTTTAATTTTAGAATACTTTCTCTATCATCTATTTGACCAAAGTATGAATTATCAAGAAGCAATGCTATACTGGGTCTTTGATTTGGAAGGGGAAACACTAACTGATGTATGTTGTTCATTAAAATTCACCGAAACACTTCAGTTTTTCCTAATTTCGGCAGTTATCTAAATGGGAAAACAAAATGAACATCAGCAGTAAGAACAGCACCAGATCCTTTTATTGATTGTTGGGCATTAAACATTGCTAGTATCAGCATGGTTCCCAAATATCATGCAAGAATTTTTGCATAAAACATTTATATTAAGGTGTTACTAAGAATTAAGTCCTGTATTACGTCACTTGTTTCTGATTTATGAGCTTGAAAAGGTGTAGAATCTAATAAAAAATCCTTAAAATATTACCCGGTTTAAAAATTCAAAAAGTGGGTTTGCTCAACAAACTTACTGTCTACCTATTTTTATAATGGTTGTTTTGTCGACAATTTCATTTTTGCTATGCATTATCTGATGTATTTTGATATTTAGTTTACTTGCTTGGGATCACACGGTGAGGAATGTGACATTTCTTCCAACAGCACATATCGTTGTGGTAAGCTGTTTTAAAATAGTATGCAGTTTTTCGAAAAGACAGTTTTTCGGCACAGAGAATATTGTTGGTCAAAAGCACATCAGTGATAAGCAAATGAAATAAGGGTATAAAAAGAGGCTTTGCCCCAGATGTAAAACATGGCTTGTTTGGCTGGTTGCAATTATAAACACTCAGATTCTCTATAGTATTTTAAATACACCAGTGGGATAATTCACGCAATGCGTTACATGCAGATTCCTTGAGAGCACATACTGATAAACTTAAAATTCCATTATTCTATCCATTTTTAAGAGATGACGTGCGTTTTCAATGAAAACGGGATTAATAAAAGCTAGATGATTTGGGTCGTGCTGACATAATTCAGCAGTTAAAGCAGGCATATGTATTTTCTGGATACGTACTAATGACATAATAGACTGATCTGGATTTAACAGGTAGCTAAACAAACGTCAATTTTAATGCCAGATCTTTGTTCAGAGGTTTTCTTATCCGTCTATTTTGTCAACTTTTCAACATCTTGAAGTTTTCCATTTCAATTAAAGCATTAGCCTAGTTTCTTCGTTTGGTTAAAAGTGCACGTAAAATTACTAATTCGGCAACTGCCCATTAAAAAACCAACTTCTAATTTGACAAGAAGGAAACGTCCAAAGGACCCAACTTAATGCGACATTGTTGAAATAATTGTCAATCGTATCCTAGAAGTCCGCAAGCCGTAGTTGAAAATGCGCGCACAACCTTTCTAAGATTTAAATTAGGTCAACGTTTTCGTCTCGGCAAATTGATAAGAGTCAAAGTTAATAACTATGGAGTCTTCATACGATGTTAAACGACCCCAAGAAATAATACAAAAATTAACATAGGCAATTCCTACAAATCAGTGAGTAGTTTAATGCCACTTAAGTGCATACGGAACAAACGACAATGAATGAAATTAATATGGCCTCTCTTCTTTTCATTTGACCGGAAATATTTAGCTTTGACCTTGCTTGAGTCACAACACTCTCCCTTTGTATTTGATTCCTGCATACTTATGCATACCGATCTTACTTATAGAGCTGCATCGACACGGCCACTTGTTCGTCTTTGCTCAGCATGCAATTCTACGCAAACATACGGTGAATCAATATGAATGTATTTTGAATGGACGATATAAACAGACTAAAGCCATCGTAATTGAAGGTTTGTGGCTTTCGTAATCTTCATAAGTAAATAGTGTTATACAAATTCGTCAAATTTGCTTTCAGGTTGACAAAATAAGTTATGAGATTTTGATTTCGACGCAGTTATATGCAAGAATATGAAAAACGCTATAATGATATTAACTTTTTTCAAGAGCGGCAGCACCAACTACATCTTTAGAAAAATATTTCAAAGAAATAATGGAAGTTTTGTCTACGCACTTAAACAAATACGAGTAATAAGTTTTCAAATTCTTATTTGTGCGAAAACAGGACTATACCAATCTCTTTGTTACATATTTATTTTGCTATATCCATCTTTGCATGCTGGAAATAATCTAAGCCTGCTGAAACCCAATGATAATTAGATGGAAAATATTTCCACGGGCTAGTTAGAGAGACTACATGTCAACTAACAGAAAATTCTGACTTAAAACACAGGAGTTTTAATTGAAATAGCTGCAGAGTTATAGGTTTGATACTAGATTCAGGAACACTCTTAAGGAAAAATGTATTTGCTTAATGACACTCCCGTCAAATTGGAAAAGAATTCATCAGTGGGCATTAAAACCTGTAGCACCCTCAGGAATTATCGATAAATAACATATGAATATGTCAATACATTTGAAATATCGCTGTCTAGTAAGTGCTTGCTTAGTGTGCATGTTTATTAAAATCATGACACAGGCCTTCTAAAATAGGTTATCTTACCACAAGACAATTATTACCACTTTTTTTCCTTTTATTTAAGATCTGTCATGCGCAATGAGCAAGCGTACATACACTGAAAGAAAACGCGTCGTAACGCTGAGAGCCCTGACAACAAACAATTTGCAGTTTTTGGTATTGGATCACGAGCTGTTTCTAATAAACAGCACAAATTGTGAGAGCATTGATAAGTCAAAAACGATTGAATGCATGTCTATAGGAGGTATGTTCTAACCAGTCGTTATGAAAGTTGTCCGAAAAGATAGCTGTTGTTATTAAAAACCTAGATATACTGGCATTTGAGAAGCCAATTATGCGGCAGTATAACTTATACATTTGTCCCGTTTTTGTTTTTTGTTGGAACAATGTTTATTTTTCAGATGACAAAAATGTGTTGCTGTCGATAAAAATACGAAATCCACAAAGCTACAGAAAAATAAGGCTCTACAGAAAAGTTGGTGAAATATTTGACCAAATCACCTTCCATGCATTGCCAGCAAAGTTATCAGAAGAAGGCAAGTCCGACTATTTTTGCATTGCACCAGAAAAGAACAAGTAGATGTTCCACAAGATTTATATGAAACATGCGCAACAGAGTTCTCACACATGTAGCTATTTTGTTTTATTTAAAGTTTGTTTATTTTTACTGTAGAATTTCATAATATCCGACATCATGTTGATGGCAACCTGAAAATCCGAGATTTTATATTTCACTTCGTTGGAAATATGCAAAATGCTGAATATAAACGTTGCAAATATATACCCAAAATACATACTAGTAATACCTTTGTCGAAAGCCTTGTCATATGATGGATGCAAATTAAAAAACATTATATCTAACACCGAAAAGTTACTGGAATCTTGTTAATTTTGAGATGAAAATATCATTCCTCTTGACTTACAGGTGACTAGAACAGACCTTGCATTCTTATGCTGCGAACACGTTGACTGTGATAATTTGTTCGCGGCCCAAATTAAAAAAGTCTGAAAACAAACTTATACAGCGAGAATATCTCAGGAAAAATTAATCTTCAAGCTATGTGTTTTTTATCACAATAGATAATCTAGAGGAAGTTGTAGTACTGATTGTACTTCAGCATGGTCCTTTGTCTATTCTGTCAGTCTTGGATGTCCTCTTTGTAATGCCTTTCTTTTCGGATGCCAACTTATATCTTATCTAACAGAAAATGACGTCTACTTAGTTTGATTTTTTCACGTTTCTTTTTAACTTCCGGAGTATTTTGTACGAAAATTGCACAAACATTATTTTTTTGTGGAAAAGTGCCTTTTGTAAATTTCATATTTGAAAATGGGACATCTTCCAATTTTAAAAGGTTTTCAATTATAAAAATGTAGCATACGATGAAATGTTCATTGGCGTAGGGTCAATGCTCTCCTTTTGTTCGTACTTCTTACGAAGTTTAACACACCACTTCACATCCGTTCTTTATAACATAATTAACTGCTTGAGTAGTTTTGCGCGGAAATCGCACAAAATAGCTTTTCAAAATCGTAGACATAAGTAGAAATACAAATCAAATCTGAAATAAATTGGAAATAAAGAACCTTATTGTAGACAAGAGGCATCATTTTGCAAGTATCGACTTAGAAGACTACATAATTTTCTACCAACTGAGTGTAAGAAATATGTTAATGCATCTTCTCTACAAAAATTCACTTTAGCATTGAAGTCAAAATGAAGCGTGAAAGCAATAATACATTATTAATCATTTTCTACTAAAAGTATGGGACCGAAAGGAAGCTCATTTCAAAGTCGACGTTATAGAGAGATAAAGATATTTTGCTAAGTTATCGACATTAAAACACCCTGGATAGTCTTTTTAATCAATCAGTATTTCAGTTAAAACTTCACTATAAAGGCCAAACCCTGTGTTTCCAAGATGGCAGTTTTAGTTGACCTTCGTTGTTTGCATTGAACAAGCGCACTACGTCATACAGTGAAAAATAGACGACAAGACTTAAACAATGTTTGTACTGTAAGATTGTGTCGTACAGGCAATCGCGTACTAAAATGCATATTTTTGTGGTTGAGGCGTTGCCAGTTGAGATATGTCTCAATGTTATACAACTAAAAGGGCTAAACTTAAAGCAAATGAATAAATGTTAGTGAATTTAAGTGAATTTAGACCGCGCATATATTGCAATCCAAAAGCCGTACTGAGGCTCCTCACTCAAATACAAGACACTTTGATGTCACGGAGACAGACGATTACTCTAGCCTTTTAAAACTGAGGAATAAATGTGACCGCAATTCCTTACAAACGCTTTATCTCTTGGTTATCAGTGCGAAGAAGGGAAACACGAGACGAACACTGCAGTTGTTCCGTACTTTGATAATTTTCTCTTTTGTTGAAAAATTTCGTTTCCTTAGTTTTGCACCGTGCTCGGGATGAATTCACATTCTTTTGAAATTGTACAACTTGCACACGAAGAAGCCCTTTCTGTGTTCCTAAGTATCTTTTTTGTGAACTTTAGAGCCACTAATTTATAGTAAATCGACCGCTTTTGATATTTGCTCCCCGAATACGGAGGAGACGATAGTTTTTGAGTTTTACGGCGATCAACCGGAAATATTCCTTGTGAGTTATTCTTGAAGATATATGCCTTACCAATGCATGAGAACTGTATTTTTAAAGATGCGTGATGATACAATTGCATAAACTCGACGGTCAAACCCAGCTTGAAATTCACTCATAAAATTCATACAAGAACGACGACCAGTCTCCTTAGAAAAGCAGTCTGTTTGCATGGGCGAAAAAGTACAGAAATTTTGTGCTTGCTCATATGTTGAAAAGATGAAGGAACCAGGTTTTGCAGTGATATTGCAAGAAGGAAAAATGCAAACTCCATACGTGAACATAGGCCAGGTTTATTTCCGGAACATTGCGAGGTGGTTGTTAAAGCATATATGTAACTATCAAACGAATAAACCAGGGAATTTTGCAACATCATCCTTAAATCGCGCAAAGTTTGCGGGGCAAAATGAAGGGCAGTTATTAACACAAATTTACTAAGAATTTATTGTTCCTTTTGGACGGCAACCGTATTCTCGCCGTTATTTCAATTAAAATGTCTAAATATGATATTCAATTTTGTTGTTTGGTGCATTTGAAACATACATAGGTAGAGTGTTGGCAAAACGAACACGTCCTTTGTACAACTAAAAAGAAACATTATGCTGATAAGATATGTGGTAAGTTTCGTTTGAAATACGGCTTGCAATAATCGCTTTTAACATCTGTTTTAAACTGAAGTATTTTTTCGCAACTTGAGATACTAACTGTCGATCGCATGGGACGGTCTAATATTATATTTCTTTTCATTTTTAATATGCAGATATAATAAAACACGAAGAAACATTTGGAATTCGCGTCCTTGTCCGCAGAAGTGAAAGGTCATTTGACAACATCCTCTGTACTGTAAACGGACGGTCCTCTATCTCTAAAACAGTTCATTGGCAAGGTATTCACCCAATCGTATAGATAGTATACAAAACGTTTTGAATGAATAGCACATAACCAATAATAAATCGCCCAATAACTGAGGCGAGCTAAAAGTATAGAAGCTTAAGCCCATCTTTGAAAGAGACAAGGAACCGACGTTCCATGCACAGTTGAATTTAATGCGGCCGTTTTTTCGTTCATCGTGCATTTTATTCAGCTTGTACGCTTGACCCAGAAAATTATTTACTATAGGATGTTTAACAACACATTTGGAAAATACATTCAATCTTCGAATGATGATAATTACAAACAAATTTTATTCAAATTCCATCAACTGTATAGTGCGTCATCATACTTGAGCAATATAATACTGGAATCGATTTTGGAACATGTTAATACGTATGTGTTCTGCGCAGAAAAACAAGACAGAGTCGAGACCGTTGACGAATTTCAATAATGAGTATTAACCAGTAGTTGAGTTAGCAGTTAATTTATACTTTCCATGATTTTAAAATAAGGTGCCTATTTATATTCTCTTTAAGGTTTCAAAAACATTACTCAGCAACAGTCAGAAAATCACGATTTTCTCAGGGAAAACGATCTACTTTCCGAACTAGGTAAGATTTGCAGACAACTAGTTTTGTACACTTTGGTGAAATGTGGTTTACATGTGCACCGTCTTAATTAGTCATGAACATGCCTAGCTCCATTTTGGATAGAATGGACAAATGCATCTTTAGACCTCCTTACCCGTAGTGTGTTACATAAAGGTTATACGACAAAGGCTATACCCAGCATTGCAAAACATTTGAGGAATATTGATTAACGTAGTATGACAAGAAAAATGTGCAACTTTACACGACGAAATCAGCGAGTCATTAGACGAAATCAAACAGCTGGTTCCCAAATTCACGGCAGTTCTTTGCTTCATAGCTATCAAGGACGCGCGCAAAACTGATTTCTGGTGTTCTAGTTACTGCGTTCGTGCATGCTTAGGCATGGAGGTATTACAAAGTCACTAAAGAATACTGATATCCTAGGGTAGGCACTTTGGTGTGCAATGCGTTCTGATAATTGCACAGAAATCCTTCCTCGTTCGCAGGATTTTTTCTTTGGAATTCTTGGAAGAAGTAGAATAGCCGAAAAGCAATTAACCGGATCATTTTTAACAAATTTTATAATTTTAAACCATTATAAACCCGCCCACAACATCATAAGCATTTAATACACATTAACAAATGATAAACGACATATGTTCCTACATATTATGTGGTTCTATTAAAATTATGCATGTAAGCCCTGTCCTCATATTACGCACAAATATACATCCTGTTTTTACTGGGGATTCTGTTTAATATACACTTTATCCTTAGGCACATTGTTCGTATTGAAATATATAAAAAAGAGCATTTTGCAAAACCAGTTGGAAAAAACAACTAAGGGTCCATAATCCAAAATGGATGGCCGAGTTGTCCGCAAAAATACGGACTAACAAAAATTTACGATGTATATTTAGATGCTATTGCGTGTAAAACCCACGATAGACTAAAGCCACGAAAGCTAAAGCACAATCGCCAAGGGGATGCAGCACTTAAAGTAAAGCTGACCATAATTTTACCACTCTAATATTTAACGAAAAAATAAGAATATCCTGCATTTGTGCTGTACGCTGGCACAATCGGGCTATATTTGCAGTTGTGACACCGTTCTTGTAATTAACAGACAATGATCAAATATTTTGTCGTCGTTGGCGTAATGACGAAAACTGTGCTTCTTTGTCGGCCTCAATGGCAAAGTGGACTTTGGGTTAAGCGGTCAATTTTCTACTAATTCGTTTATTTTTTTACTGTCAAGGGAGTATAGTGGCTCTATCGCTACTCAAGGTGTGTATGGCTTAGATATTTGGATGAAATTAAAAGATTGCCCGCCTATGCACCTTGGCTGAACAATTACGTCAAAGCCCATCAAAAAAAGCCGCTTTATTTTTTGTAGTGATTAGAGCAGCTGATTTTGATCAGCACTGCAGCTGGTACACAAATATGCAGGTCAGTTTAGAAAGACTGCCGTATCAATGTCGTTTTCTATTATTACTGAATCGAAATATTTTATTGCGTTTCCCTACATGTTCATTGGACAATTTCGTATGTTTTTCTGTAGGCTTTATCTGTCACCATAACCAAGGTTTTGTTTGGACTGCTGTATTTTTCATCAGCACATTAAGTTACATAAACAATGCAAAAACGACGCTCATGGTGGGCATTAAATAATTAATCTTAAATCGGTCAAAATTTCGCAGCTTTTAATGCAGACTAAAAATTGGCATTGTGCACCTTTTTTTCTCCAAAATACTTGTGATTAATGAAAGTTTAACACGTTTAAGTACGATCACTGTGGTATCGACTTCCCGGGACAAAACATTTATCCTTTCATGTTACTTTATCAAAAAAGGAATTTGTAACATTTTCAGAATTCACTATTTAAATTTCGATGACAAACTAACAAACGTGCATTTGTTAATTTTAACTTACATCGTGAAAGGAACCAAACAAAATGCAGTTGGATTGTTTGTGCGGGGACAGTCACCTTCAGAATGACATGTTTGAGGTACAATCCTTCAGTAAGTTATGCGAATCGGGGAAGAGTTTTTGTTATAGTCCTTTTTGTTTAGATACGTTACAGTTGTTTGCAGACAAGGACTGAATTATTATGTGAATTCAAAAAAATATTGGAAAGTAAATGCAACTGAACATGTCTTACGTATTTACCTACGTGCCCCCGTATCTGTGTTTTCTCACAGCAACGACATTTACCGGTAAATTATGATATTAATATTTTTCAACTTTATTGCTTATTCAGCCAAGTTGACACTTAAAAGCCTGTCAAAAATATTACATTATTTATACCCTGATACTATTATTTTAAAAGTACTTTGCGATCTAATTTAGTAATTATTTTTCAAAAATGAAAACATTCCTAGTATTTACCACGGAAATACTGCCAAATTCAAATGCATACGATTTTCTTCATGCCCTGTGCCCAATTCTAGAAAAGCTGAATTACACAGGAAACCGTACGTTTAAGTGCCTCACAAATACATCGCATATTGCCTATCTCACCAAAAATATTTTGCTTATTTAATACCATGCATATCAGTAGGTTTGCACAGGGAACAAATCATTCTACTACGTACCATAACTGTGGGCGTACTGATACTTGATAAAGATCATCAGATGCATATGATGTTAAATCATTAATTTAAGATTCCATTATTTGTCATGCATTCACGCCGCTGTTAATAAATCGAGACCCAACAAAAGGGATTATGTACTTTTGTACTTTATGTCTTTTGACATAGGAACTATACGTTTAGTGTAGAGTACATAAATCTGCCTTATCGACTGATTTTTTAAACAATTCATTAATCTGTCTACATATTATTGTTCATAATATCTTGCAGCACATTTCCTATACCATGAGTTCGATGAGAGTATAAACGGAGACGAGGTCATGATTTACTGGATTTTTGACCTCAAAGGTGAACCAATAAGAAAGGTAGTTTGCTTTTTACTGAAAGTGTTATCGCTCGACATCAACATGTGCATAATGACTAAATTACCGCTTTTTACAATGGCACTATACTCTCTTATGTATAAAAGCAAGATACGTTTCTATTAATACCAATATATGTTTGTACATTTGCTCTTTAAAGTTGAAACATCATTAGATAGGTATGCAAGTCTGGAGAATATTTTATAACAAAATGAAAGTTAAAAACCTATGCCATTCAAACAGAGCATTTCTAGTTGGTTAAAAATATTAACCTATCGTTGCTTATCCTTGCAGTCTTTAAAAATCGCAGCTTACGTTGTTGTGTGCATAATTATTATCTAATCGATATGCATGTAGTTCATATGCGAAGACACGCAGGCAGAGATTTGTGGAGGCCAAACTTCGGATTCCACTACCTGTGGTAATTAATTTTTATCTCAATTCCTATTTTACAAGATGATCTGCATGACTTAAATTTTTGGTACTTCATGCAGCGAGTCAAAATCATATAGAAAATGTTTCGGTCATCAGAGCTGCAGTCCTTATTTATTCGACTGTTTACGCTTCATGTCATCGAAGCTTAGGCTACTGCGGTTCGTATGGCTGCTTTTGCTGTTGTATTGATTAGACTTATTGATTGTTAAAAACTTGTGGGTCGCCAAAAGCAACCACTTGGCTGACCGCAAATGCGGATGCTTTTCGTAGCACCCAGACACTGTCTGAGGGTATAAGAGAAGCATCGTTTGCCATTTCTTTGGTCAAAATAAACATGGCATGGGGAATAACAATTGTTCCTAAATAACAATACTAAGGTCGCCTGTCTGGCTTAATTATTCTGGATACCTGTGTCGAACTGCTGAGTCAAGGTTTTGTAGACACTGCGTGAAAATATTCTTTGACAGAAAAATTACTGCGCAAACGGTTTTCCTTTGGGGCCTGTCCCTACGAAGAACTGGTGAAAGATGTATCGGCCGAAAGGACACAGAGTATAAAATTACCGAAACTGTTTAAAACAAATTACTACACATAAAGGTGTATGTTTCAGAATTACCTACTTGATTACGAAAACTTAGTAGTTTCAGGCTTTTGTAAGTGTAAACGCATCCTAACACAGACATGATCAGAACTGAAGTTTATTACAAAAGGCTGCCTGCAGCTGACGGTGACTGTTCACGGAACTTGTCTGTAATGGAGCGTACTAACAATGCACCCGTCCCTTATTTTTATCTTCGTACCCATAATTATTTGTTGGAAAATCAGTCTCAAAACGACCGGAAGTTGGAGTGGGTTTATATGCCAGAAACAGTACAGGACCCGCCAGCCTAGGCCACAAGTGACCTGTTCCCTGCTGCTCATGTACCAGATTTGGCAAAGATAGGATGAAGGATCCCAATTACCTGTCGGTAGACTGTGAATCCTGTCATGCTGAGTTTTGTCATGGCATCCACTTGAAGTCCGTCGCAAACGATTACTTCCCTGGATCGTTTTATTTATTTTTACTTAACGCACTCATTTCCCATGCCATAAAAAGCGTCCAACAAGGCTTTCGGCAGAAATCGAACGAATTCCTGTATTTTCCTGCATTTCATTAGCCTGGTGTTTGGCATCCTGCCCCACTCGTAAAATCCCCATTACGACCATGTACTTATGACACGACTTCCAGTCCACCGACAGTCAAGTGGGATGTTGTACCCTGCCAATATCCCAGACTTTTTCCTGAGACAATTCAGACTCCGCAAGAACGAGTCTCGTAATGCTTACAGTCAGAAAGAGTTACTGCAGTTGGATCAGTATTTGTGGGCAGAAGGAAGTCAGAAGGCAACTGCCAAAGCCTAAGATGGTGAACCATCAGGCGTCTGGTAACGAAACCGAAAGACCCACCGCCACGGAAAAAAACATCTAGAGTCTTTTATCGGATGTAATAGAGTTGCGGCTAAAGCAACTACGTCGGAGAACCTGGAAGACAACTCCAAACGCGAATGGCCGAACACGTTGCAGCGGTGTGGAGAAATGACGCCAGCTCTCAAGTTGCGGCTCATTCGACGGGTTCCGACCACTCATTCAAATTTGGCGAGGCCGAAATTCTCGCAAGAGGTGACAACCGCGTGAGCCGGGAGCTGCTTGAGTCATGGTTCACTGGCCACCAGTCTATTAACAAGTTCAATGATCTTCCCATTCAATACAGCGTGCTGAGACTTCGTCTAGGCGGATAAATTGGCCACGCGGGGAGCGCCCTGATGAACACTCTTCCCAACACCCGGGTCAGCGCGTCAGATGGTCGAGCAGTCATCACACCAACATCCAACGCACGTGATGAAATTGCAGCAATTAACGACGCGAATGTCGGCCATCATGCCACGTGCAACGACCCCTGATGAAGGGGGTGGGGAGCCGTGAATATTCATAGGTATGCGGTAGCATGGCTTCTGCATCCTACAAATACTACAGCCGCATGCGCATGAACCACCATTATCTGCTTTCGTCTCTGATGATGTATTCCAACAGGAGTCCGAAACGTCAGGCTAATAAAGCTCTTGTCCCGGTGATCTTGTCTTTTTCTCTAAGACAACTGCCAAAGCCTGAGATGATGGCCCATCACTGTGGATTCAAGCGCGTCAGATTTTCTCTCATAAAGAATGAGCTGCTAATGGATTCCTCCCTGGTTCTGCCTTTACTCACCCCCCTTAACCGGTTGGATATCCGAGACTAGCAACTAACGGGCAAAGAGATTGAGCGCAGCGTATGCTCTGGAGCGAAAACCTCCGTCCCAAATGTTTTGCAAGCAAGGGCGACACTTTGCGGACCGCGTAAACTCGCTGACCCCCCCCCCCCCAATCAACAGATGCCATGGGCGTGTTTTGTCCTGTTTTCACTCGATGCTCTTGCGGCAATGCCGTATGACAGACATATTCTCGTGAAGGGGCAGCATGCGTTTGAGATAAGTCAAACGCCTAGTTAAAACATTCTTAAAATACTCGCAGCTGGGTCCCATTGACAAAAATCTAATACATGACCCAAAAACACTACTTAGAATATCCTCTATTCCCTGCGGTTTTGCTGGGGGATGTTTTAGCAAACTTAAGCCAGTATACGGCGCAATATCGGACTTTCAGTCTACTTAAACTAAAGACCCTCACGTGTTAATACCTAAAAGTCCCGCCCCCAAACCCCAATTACTGGCTGATAAAAGCATAACTGTAACCCTTCGCCTATGTTCCTGCACTGCTTGCCGAAATTCCCTGATTTTAGAGCTTCACAAGATCAGCTCCTTGGTAATTTTCGCCTATCGTGCGGACCTTAGGAAGACGAGACTTTCAGAATACACGTGCACGCTGAATGACAGATACAAGCAGAGAAAAGAAATAAAAAAGTCAAGTGGGTATTTTTAATTGTTTTAAGATATCTTGTCATTAATATAAAATAAGTCTTATGGCTGGTTCTCTATATGCTTTCCCTCCCGCTGTCTACACGCCTACGTAAACGTTTTTCCGAAATTTGTAATTATTCATTCTGCAAGAAAGTGAACTATGATGTCAGACATAATACACATCACCTGACATGTGATAGGTTACATCGGATTACGAGAACCAAAACCACTGCATTGTTTACTATCGTGCTTAGTTTTGTGACTAGATTCATGTCCTATTGCAGTATTATAGCATTTTGCCCCTTAAAGGGGCCACGTGATAGATGCGTTGGACCAACACAGGCCCATAATGGATTCTGGCAGGCGATATCGGAATGCGCACCATAGCAAATGACAATATTTCGGGATGTCGTGGCGGATCCCGTTGTCAGCAGTCGCCACGCACACTGGGACCCCTGCCCCTCCCCCCGCATTGATGTTGTTAGTCAAAAACCGGGTTATTTGCTGTGTGGAGCAGTGGGTGTGGAGTGGGACACCAAGGTGCGGGCTCGACCGCACCATCCACCCGCGCATTTTTCCGCCTTCGGTCTTCTTGACTCTTTCTTGACACCAGGTCCAGGTGGGGGAGGAGAGAGAGCTGTCGGTGCGGTGCAATCCTACTGTCATTATAAACTGACCCACGCATAAGCCACTGTCCCTGCTTTCACCCTGCTGTGAAGCACACGGTGGACATCGTCGTATGCGACGGTCGATAAAAAAGATTATAGTATTATTCCATTACTTAAGTGACAAACGCTTTATGTGGAGCGCACGGTGCGACAGTTGATAAAAAGAATATTATATTATTCTATTATTTAGTTACTTTAATATTATACAATGTTTTACTTCGAATTCTACAGTTTTATATTTCGAAATGGGTATTCTAAAAGATTTAATTAGGAAGTGATAGAATGTTTGCGAAAATATGACTTTGGTTGCGGAAATCTTTGAGACTGGTTTCCAACTAGTCGTTAATTTGTGTCGCGGCCGCCAGTATACTAAAAGCAATTAAACAGCAAACTGTTCCGTAAGGGAAAAAACGTCTTAGCTGGTTAAAAAGCAGCTGACTGCGTCAGATACACAGAGCAAACCAATCAGAAAATACTTAGCCCACACAGCAAAACGTCTGAAGGACCATGTTGACTACCTTACCGGAAAAGTTGTTGTCTGAAAAATCCAGTGGGTCACATTTGTAGTCTATTGCCACCAACCAAGGCAATTTGTCCCAACTTGTATACACGAAGAGCAGTTGGCGGTAAAGAAACGCGACCAACTATCCCAGCTGGTAATGAGCACACAAGACACTGAATACAAATTTGCGTGGGATAACGCTCATATTGCTGACTCATAAACAAAAATGAAAGGTTATGTGATCTCGGAAATAATGCTTTCAGATAACACATGCATAAATCACATACGAATTTACAGGGCCAAATTAAAATCCCCAGATCAAATTTGAAACAAAAAATCGATTACCAAAGAGATGACGAGATAAAATAAACGCGTATTTGCACAGGCTCTGGTCCGAAATAGATTAGTTTTTTTGATATTCTTAAATAATCAACCGTTTTTGCAAATGCCTATTGGTCTGACGATGAGGAGGGAAACCGACCTCCACGACTTGTGCAAAAAAGCTATATCTGTCAAAATAATTTCATTACTTCATATTAGATTATCATATTGCATTTAATCCAGACAAAGATGTGACTTGGTGGTTTAGCTATTTCTGACGAATGAAGGCGAAATTTCGAGTTCCAGGTATATGCATAAGTGAAGAAGAAGAGTCGAGCACCTAACCTCTTCTTCCTCAGCTATTTCTGAGACAGAAATGTTTTTCGTCACCTTGTGTGTCATTGTCACTAATTTGCGAGCATACATTATTTCCGGGTTTAACTGCATATTGAAATTAGAATAATTCTCCAATAATAAGGGAATATTTAATATAAAGGACGTTAGTCGTTTCAAGTCCATGTGGGACAGTAAGCTAAGATAGCCCTGCCATCCGCCATTTCGGATGTTTTTAAAAAGGTGTCATTTCATTACGATGTAAATTAATAGCTATTTATATTAGTGGGTTTTTGCAATTGACTTTCGATGAAAATTGGTTAGTATATAGTTTTTTTGAAAAACATTATCTAAATGTGGTGATTTTTCCCTTGATTTAAGATAGAACACCAACCAATATACATTTTTCCACTTGGCCGGTTGCATTGATTATTTATTCAAAGTGTTGCACCTTTCTACATCTCTGGTGTCCGGAACTATAAATCATTTTGTCTAGTATAAATAATGAGTTATATAATGAATTTTAATTTTTAGACATATACCCCTCGGGACACTTGGACGGCTAACCTCAATTGGTAAACCAAGCACGCCAAGTAATCTTCGGTCACAACGCACATTCGTATTCGTGTGAACGTTTTTGATGCGGGTATCGTGCTCGTCCAACAATAACTTTGAAATACAAACGTTTTTATATTCAAATAGGAATTTCGTTTTTTGGTTAAAGTCTCTTAAACAAGCAATATGTTTGCCTTTTTGAAATTAAAAAATGCTCTTTTGCCATATTTTTTGATATACAAATGTCCTGGGATAAAACTTGCATATTTTCTCCCCGAGGACCTGTTAAAGGCTCCCCTTCTGCAGGAAAACCATGGGATTTCGCATTTCCCTATTTTAAATAGTGGCTAAAATTTACTGTCAAAGAACTACACAATCCGAGAAAATTCAGTCACCTTAATTCTTGAGTAACTTTATTATATTCACTGAAAGTCGTTGATTCGTCACAAAAATATAAAGGGCTTTTTGTACAAAAATAGGCCATGATGCAATTACTGATTTTTTGTTCTTCTTATAAGCTCACTTTCTTGAGCGCAATATAATTTTTTCGAGGCCGATGGTCTAAGTATTCCAAAAAAAATTTACAGTTGTTACCACTAGGGCGTTTCCAGAATGTCAAAAAGGGTGACAATCTGTCAAGGAAATTTGGTTAGAGGACAATAATGGCTTTATCAGCAGAAGTTTTTCTGTGGGCATCTACTGCATTTGTCAAAGTGTGACTAGTTGCCAGCACAATGGCTCCAAAATCACAAGTAGGAGAGTTTGGACTAGGCGGGACCGTCACTCGCGAGAAGAGCGTACAAGCAACTGAGCAAGCAGTTACAGCTGGTCCTCTTCTCAGGTGTGTGTTGGCATCTGCCTTTGTTCTGTCTAAACTATGCCCATCTGCAGCCAATGACGAAGGGCTCAACGTTGATTGGCTGGTGCCAAATCGCAGGCAGTTCCAACAACACATTGATCAGGAGCGTAAGACGAGCTGAGAGGCTGGAGCAAACGGTCACGCTGGCGGCCATGGCAGCCAACTGCCTGATATCAGTCCTTGTTGATAGGAAGTAGAAGCGGTCGCTGGAACAAAGGCTTTATTAGCCTGACGTTTCGGATTGTCGTTCGAAGCCACCATCAGAGACAGTAGCATAGAGGGGTGGTTCGTGCACAGGAAGTTGTTGCTTTGCAGTCGCCTTGCTACCGCATAGCTATGATAATTAACCTCTCTCCCCTTCATCAAGGATTTTTGTACGCTGGTGCGCTAATAGTTTGATGGCCGGAGGGCAAGTTGTTAATTGTTGAAATCTCTTCGCTGGCATGACGATTGGTCTGCCACCTGGCTCATCGGTCTGCGCGCACCTTGGGTGGTTAATAACTATGGCCAGACTGTTCCTCAGCACGGAATATGGAGTGGGGATGTAGTTGCACTTGTTGATAGGCTGAGGTACCGTTAACTATGACTCAAGCAACTCGCGGCTCATGCGATTTTCCCCTCTCACCGAAAATGAATAGCCCCTTATTGTTATCGAACGGAAACAGTCAATGACGATTTAAGATATCATAATGTCGTCCACTGCAGTAGAAACAATACGACACAGAGGGATAGAGACAACCAAACAACGGTCTCTTATCTTCTTGCCTGTCGTAAGGTTTGCATTTGATCCTACTATTCAGTGCGCCCAAAAACGCAAGAGTGACTCATGCACCGAATTTCCACGACAGATTAATAATTAACCACAGCCAAAATTGTCTAAGAGCTTGTTAAGGGATACAACAGTGAACTGAGAGACTCAGCAGTTAAACTATAAAAATACGTCGAGTGCTCAGGGCGAATGGCTATACGAACATTTTCGTCAATCGATGTAGGTAAAATAGCTAATCGCACAAACCGCACAGTTTGCAGCTTTTGTTGGGGGTTTTTGTACGCCAAGGTGCACTTGGCCGCCCATGAACATTTCTTTATTCTAATGGTTTTTGGGATCGCAAAGATGTCGTCTGACTCTAATTTGTTGGGATAAGATATGTGTGCAGCCTTTCGTCAAATAAGATATGTCCTTGAGCTCTGCAATTACTGTAGATGTGATAACTCATGAAATGTCAACCAAAATTCCGAAATGTGTTCTCGTTTCGAAATGATAAATTAAATAGTGTTGTAAAACTAATCATGATGCAGCATAAATCTATAATGATCCAGTTACCTCAGGGTGTCGGCTTCCGAAAGAACTTATTTTCGGCTGCATGCACGATCTATACTCTGCAGAAAATGACTACTTAAGTAGCACGCAATTTTCTCATTGATTTTCGATGCTCTTGAAAATTCAATTCTATTTCGTGGAAAACATGCATAAAAATACTCATTCTTTTACTTATTCGGTAGAAAATCACGTCTTCTTCCAATTTCATACTCAAAAAAGTGTATAATTCGATTTTAAAAAAGAGTCTTATTGTGAGATTTTTAATACCGTTAAATGGCCGTTCATGAAACGTCATGTATCTGCATTTACGAACGTGGCTTGTAAAGTTAACAATATTGCTCAAATCCACTGCTTACTTTTATGAACCTCATATGGTCTCCTCTTAACACCGTAGAGAAATGCATGGTTTTCCGTACACTGAAAATATACAGCTTGTAGTTTGAGAACCGTGAATGCAAGTGTAACTGCAGGTCGAGTTCTAAATTATTCGGGAATAAGAAAAGTTTTTTAAAACCGAATTATACTCTTCTTTTGAGTATGAACTTGGAAGAAAACGTGATTTTCTACGGAATAAGTAAAAGAATGAATATTTTTATGCATGTTTTCCACGAAATATAATTGAATTTTCAAGGGCATCGAAAATCAATGAGAAAATTGCATGCTACTTAAGTAGTCATTTTTTGCAGAGTATAAATCTTGCACGCAGCCGAACATAAGTTTTTTCGAAAGCCGACTCGCTGAGGTAACTGGATTATTATAGATTTATGCAGCATCGTGATTCGTTTTACAACACTACTTAAGTTATCTTTTCGAAACGAGAACGCATTTCGAAATTTTGGTTGACATTTCATGAGTTAGCACATCTACTGTACGTCGAACACACAGGATACTTTTGACTGGACGCAGAGGGCCGAACATGTGTCAGTAACGAAGGGGGTATAAACGCTAACTCTTAAATTGCAACTCGCCTGACATAACACCTTAATCGTCAGAGAAGGTTAGATTACTACCGCCCGGTAAAAAAAAACAGTTCAGTTGCGAACAGTTTGTACTATACCCTTTCGTTTTGTAGTCTACAAGGAGGTGCATTGACTTTTGCATGCGTATAAAACACACACATGATACAACACGGGCATCCGTACATTACATAAGCGGAGGTGTACGGATGGTTACTGCTCGTCACAATTGCCCTGGCTGGTCTAATTACCAAGTAAATACCACGTAATTCAGCAGTACTGGCGGTGACCTTACGGTCCCTAACTATTCAGACGGGAGAAGTTAATTTAATTATTGTAGTATGTAAGAAAAACTAGAATGATATACTGTTCTGATGCATTTCTGGATGGAAAGGCACCCCAGACTGGGTTCTTATAAAAGCGCGCATCAACTGGAATTAATCTGTCACGGTAACAGTAAACCTCGGTGACAAAACGCCGAGCTGCACCTAGACACTTCGTCCAACTGAGCTTGTGGCCGTCCACCCCCCATGGTCTCCGGACAGATTTCCGGTCCGCCTCACGCTCCCGGTCATTTCGCTGTTGGAGCTGCCCGAGAACTGACACCAGCCAATCAGTGCTGCCCGCTCGTCAATTGGCTGCAAGCAGACAAAGCTTAGGCGGAACAAAGACACACGCCAGGGGCGAACGATTTCAAAGATGGGACACACTGACATGCCTGGAGAGAAAGATGGCTGTAACTGCTTGCTGAGGTCCCTGTGTTCTATTTAACCTCATCGAAGCTTTTCCAACCTGATTAATATTTTTGACTTGTGATTTGGGACTTCTCGTTTGTTCACCCATTATGGATAGACGCATTGCAGCACAGCAGACAAACAGACGAATGGGTGAATGCACCTGTTAAACCACTTCGACACTAACGGTTTCCTAAACGCATTCAATGGTATTGTCTTTGCCAAAAGCGCAAAAAAATCGGACAACGAGTTAAAGGGAACGACTGTAATCTTCTGCGTGTATCGCCAATGATGGACGTTTTAAAAACCGAACACTGCTACCGGTAGTGTTTCAGCCATCTATTCATGCAACTAATGTCTGCGTATTCTGCACATTTCAAGTAAAGTCCATAATTTTCTGCCCGTCAGGTTCCTTGATTGAGTCAAATTACAGTGTTCAACTGGAACAAAATACGGAAAAATTACACATATAATAACGACTTAAAAAGGAGTGTGAAGGTCACCAATTGCTCATGTCAATGTGTGGGCCTGAGTATCATTTGCTTGTACTGCCAGATGCCTTGTCACCCTCCATTATTCCTCCGAGTTGCTACTTGCGAGTAACTGTAAGAGAATTAAGCTCGAGGACGCAAAATGCTATTTCAAAATTTATCCGAATGCTCGCTTTCTATTGCGCTCTCTTTTCCGCAGTCTAGCCGCACCCATGAAACTCGTATTACACGATGAAGTGATTTTTCTTCCTGAGTGGGGTCACATAGTGCGTCCACACCATAAAAGTAATTGCAAAAATGTCAAAGTTTGTTCATCTCAAACGCACTTAACATATCTTTCGACTAATCTCTTACGGCTCTGGACGTTTGGACGAAAGGATGGGTGGAGGAGAAGACGGGTAGTGATAAAAAATATAAGAACGCGAAAGGTGTCGAAGGACTTTGAGATTATCATATATTGGGTCTACAAAATTACTCCTGACCACGGTCACGAAACCTCAAGTAAGTAAGCCAAGCATATAAATTGTCGATTTCCTGTTGCTGGGCTACCTACCGAGACAGGTTTGAGATCCTGGAGCAATTAAATTAATGGAGACTTTTGTATATAATGAAGGAAGTCCTAAATCCAAATACTGGTAGAATACTTCTTG